GTGTGTTAACCCCGGCGCTTGTAACTCTGTGAAAGGTTGTAAAAAAAAAAAAAAAACCTAACTCTAAACCTCACTCCCTGGAGCCGGGGTCAGAGTCCATTATGATTACTGAGATCTGCAAAATGTCCAACACCGATTCCAGACCCTCAGCAAGCTGAGGGGATGTATTCTAGTATACTAAAGCCATGCAGAGTTTTAAGTATTTGCTAGAGAGTTGTCCTGCGAATCGGGCGGGACCCGCTGTTGCTGGGAACGTTTTTTTCTCAAGCGATGGCTCAATGCCAGATTTTTATTTTTTTGAAGGGACCGCTTGTCCTAACGAACAGATTTGGTGTCCGGGGGTGTCCCGTCCATCCTGCAGGTGCGACACCTGGGGCCACGCCTGGTGCAACCCCGAATCCTTTGGCGCAGACGCCTGGGCTCCGTGCTAATGCGACGGCTGGCCTCACACCGCCTTTTGCCCGCAAAACCAAAAGCCGTCCAAAGCAATCCACGCAAAAAGATGAGTATCTTGTCTCTCAAATGTATCCGAGGAACCCACTTCTTGGACAGACGCCCGGGCCGGGAGGCACGGTTTTTGCTGCTTTGGCGCTGCAGCCGCTTTGTGAGCTGGGCATATTTGAGCAGTTTATAGGCGCCACTCCTGGCTCAGGAGGCGCCGCTTGGAACTCAGAGGGCTTCTAACCAAGAGGATTCTTGAGGTGCAGGTCAAGGACAATGCTTGGTCCTTTCCAGGCTGGTAAGGGTCTGCGTGACGGGCTGGCCTTGAACCAGGATGAGGCTGCGTTGCTTGCCAGGGATTTCTAGCTTGGGCCATGTTATTTCTAACTCAGCATTGAGTTGAGTTTTCTAGCGTTCCTGGTGCGGTGAGGAGATGGAGCAGATGCCGGACAGAATCCGAAAGTTTCCTCCTAAGGGATCTGGTGTTTCAGCGTTTTTCACGCAAACACACTTGAGACAGAAGGCAGCTTGCAATGAGACTTCCATGCAGTTGGCAGAAACGTCCTGGAGCCAAGGGCAAACCAACGTATGCAGATGCAAGCTGCGCGCGGTTGCCCGGGATTGCAGGGTATCAGGCGCGAGTGAAGGCTGAGGATTCCATCCAATCCAAGCATTAGGACCTTACTCTACCGCTGACCTTTCCTGTTTTCACGTCTTCGCTGCCTTTTAGCACCAGAACTTTAGGCCTCGAAGCCGGTTCTGAGGGCTTTGCAGTTCGATCAGCTAGTCCCGTATCATCGCTGTATATCGCTGTAGCATCGTTCAATACCACACCGGCACGGGTGTGGAACAGCCTTACCTCAGTCTGGCACGCTTATCTTATCTTCGGTCCGATCCTGGTGCCAACTTGAGCTATCTGACTTCATAATGGAAACGATAAGCTGCAAAAGTAGAGGGTCATGCACCATGTGCATTCTGGACGCGTTGCCTTGCAATGGCGTTGATCAGCTGCAGTCACATGACACATGAAATTTCCCCAGGGAGACCATCGCGGATGGTCCAGGAATTGAAGAAACTTGCTTGCGGAGACTGACAGCGAATTGTTCTCCCTCCCTCCACACACACCTACTGTACGAGCCAATTAAGGCATGCAGCACAAAGGGGCCAAACTACATTTCATCTATGGCATGACATTCTGATCCCTGTCCACACAAACACAGCTGCTAGACTGTTCGCTGCTAAGGTTGGGCAGCTTGCCAGCTCCAATGAACGAAGTCGAGATTTCGATGCCGGACCTCATGGAGGTACGGCAGTTCGGAAAAGTAAGTGCAGCTGTTGACATGGAGGTTCAGCTAGGAGGCAAAATGTAGTTATCAGCTCCCATCCATGGCGGTGGGGCAAGTGCGACAGTGTACGAATCCAAGACAGTTGCTGCTTGTGCTGCTCAGGAGGAAGCTGACACCCAAGCGACGGGGGCTTAGATCAGTCTTGCACCGCCTATTGCAGGTCTGCCTGTTTTCAGCAAGCCCTCCCAAGGAGTGTAGTGCATGTAAGGCTTGGCGTCTGCTCGCATGATAGTTAGAGACGAGCCAGGCCTCTAGAGGAGGATGCTGCTGATGCTGACAAGAGACGTGCCCAAGAAGAGCAAAAAAGATTAGAGGCCGGACAATAATCTGTTCGCTGCTCCGTAGTTGTCTTGCAGCGATATGCTGCAAAGAACTCTGCAGATCGAGCGGCAGAAGCAAAGCCAGCCCGTGAAGCTGGGTTTGCCGCGCCCTGTGTGGAGCTCAGCAGAAGTGCACCCATTTCATTTGGCGGAGTTGCTTCTGCAGGGGCTCAGTCAGGGCTTTGGGCTCAAATAGGATTGATTTAGGCATTTGAGCGATTTCAGCCAAGTGTTGGGGTTCTGATTTAGAGGTTCAGAGTTGCAAGCGATTTTTAGGTTTCTAGCCTGTATGAATTCAGGGTTAAGTAAAGGGGTATGATTGCATTGGCATAGCATTGGAGGATCACATTGACAGCCTGCAGTCTTTCCCAAGCAGCCATTTTTGACATCACGCAACGTACCAAAAGTAACGGCACTGCCCTTGCATCACCGCAGAGGGATGCAAAGGGTTCAAGAAGCCAGAATGAGCAATCATCGTTCCACACCTTGTGGAGCCTTTCAAGCACATTGAAAAAGGTGCAGACGCAGATGATGATCTTCGAGAGCTCAGCATCACAGGACTTCAGCATGTTAGTTGCTTAGACAGAACGGGACTGCTGGGCGTGCGCAATCCTTTCAATGCGGCCTTGAGGTCTTTTTTGAATCCCAAGAACGGCTGATGCTGACGTCGTTGAGTTCAAAGCAGTGCCCTGCCAATCCGTGTCAAGCCTGCAGGCTGGAGCTGGCGCAGTGCTTGAAGGGCCCAAGCATTTGCTTCCAAGCTGCAATTATGTGCCAACATTGCAGCTCCAGAAGGTTTTACCTTGCGGAGATGCGAGATGCTAAGCACTGTTGAAGTTTGTGAGGCTGCAGCAGGCTGAGTCCTTGCTGCACGAGGACTGAGCCAGGGAGATGCCAGCTTTTGAAGTCAATACTCTCAGATTGAGTTCGGGCTGGGAAGCGTTGTGATCCTCAGGAGATGGGTGCCATGGTGACGCGCGATGCCGTTCTTTTCCCCGTCAAGGGTGCAAAGCCTCCCAAGAAGGTTCGTCCGGGTCCTTGAGGCTATTGCCTTTTGGCCTTGTGGCCTGGCAGACAATTGGCAGGCTCCTCCAGCCGGCATTGACTTCAGCCTGGAGGAGTGCGCTCCTGATGAAGCGGATTTCCTGCAGGAAAGGAATCGGCCAATGTCAGAATTTGTGCAGAATAGCTGACACAATGAAAAAGCTGATAAATTTGAACTGCACCCGGGATGTTTTGAGGTTGAAGTCTGCGGGCGAGCTTTTGGAGGAGGAGTTGGCGGCTTTTGCGCAGGCGCACGAAGACAATCTTGTCCACTAGCAGGTTCTCGTTCTCAGCATCAGAAATAGATGCCAGGACCTAGGACACAGGTGGGTAAGACAAGAATGGAGCGCTCGGGGAGTAACATCTGCTGATGTTTGTTTTATACGTTCTGAGGCAATTTTCGAACCTGTGCTAGATGTTTGATGTAGACGTGTGAGCAGTGAAACGTTAACTTTCACAGCCATGCAATACCGGTTCACGAGACAGATTGCCTTATCCCAGCGCAAAGCTTGAAGGACGCTGGCGGAGGTCACAACTCAGAGATGGCCATGCAGGCTGATGGATCATGTTTTGTGAGGGCAGTTGGTTAAGAGAACCACTGTCCTTTGCCCGAAGAGTCGTTTGCTGCTATCATTCTTACGATCTGGCATGGCTTGCCTTGCGAGCCACGCTGGGCTATTGAGGGTCTGACAGTAACATTTGCTTCTGGCAACTTGGCAGCTCCCCTCTGCGTGACTGTGTAGGTGCTGTGCTCCTACGCAACTAGCTGGGATGTTGGCATGGCTGAAGATGTTTGATGACTGTGTACCTTATCGATGGAGATGCATTGCATAGTCTTAGTGCATATTGAAAGGAGGTCACGTGGCTTCACACCATCTGCATAAAGCGTGCTTGAGTACAGCATGCAAGGAAAAGGACTTAGTGCGCTAGACTGGCAAGGCGGCCTTCGAGGAGAGTACCAGCACGGAGCCCTATGCCAGGAGCTTGGCAGTGGTCAAGGGTCACAGGGCATCCTTTGGCACAGAAGGTTCTGCAATTGTGAGGTTTTCCTGCCCTCCGCCAAGCGCTACGTGGACGGACGGCTACTAGGGAGAAAGGAACGTATCGAGTCCGCCAGGCACAAGTCAGAGCCCATGACTCCTTCATGCTTTCGTGCAGTGCAAGGGCAGCTGCATGTTTCGCACACTTAGGTTCGAGATCGTGGACTCCAACCATCAGAAGGATGGAGCAACCAAGTGCTTGCACAGCAGCTAACAGGCACATCACAGCACATCATGAGATTGGAGGAGATCAAGAAGTCCAAGAAGATTGAAGAGAAGATGGAGCGACTGCTCGGAGGCTGCCCTTACATCACTTTCAGCGCTCGTGCTACAATACACTGACAGAGGCAAGGCGTTCGGTATGCTGATACAGAGGGCTCTTGTGAGCAAGGAAACTGCTGCCCAAGGACACAGGATATTCCCTGTTCCTAAAGCAATCGTTCTTGTGGCATCTCATCACCTTCCTGGACCTCAGTATGAGGAGCCTAAAGCACAAAGGGGATGCCGCTTTTCAGCTCGTCGTAGAAGCCAATCCAGGGCCGTTTGCGCCTGCATGAATCGAAGGCCCTTCTCGACAACAGTGAAGGGAACACAACCCCAGCGAGCCCCAAATCCTTCAGGCCAAATTCACTTGGACAGTGAGCTCCTTGCCATCCTTGCCCAGGCTACATGACGAAAGCACGCCAGGCGCTTCTCCACATCCGCAAGCTGTCCGAGGAGCCGAAGTTGGGGCTTTGCCATGGTTGGACACTCATCCATGGGATCGAAGTTGGGGGGTTCTTCTATGGCTCGATTCTTCTATGGTTCATGTAACCAGATTATATAGGATCCATCTTGATGGTTTGTAAAATCATGGTTCTGAGTAGGTGAAACATGTCCCCTGAGGTTGTCTCTATTTCCTCCTTGCGCGCTGTGGTTGTGGCCTGTTGTTCTGTTGAATCTTTTGTTGCACAGGAGCGGGAAACCGTTGCTATCGAGACAGAGGTCTTCCAGACCCTGAGGGCCAGAGAAGAGAAGGCTCCGTTACTTTCAGATGGAAGGGATCTTTCAAGGGAGCCGTCTTCACGCCAACGGAGCTGTTTGCTCGTGTTCTGGGATCCTAGTGAAGTGATTGCACCCGTCATGCCGAGGCCATTGAGAGCCGTGTCGAGGAACTGAGAGACCAGGCAGGCACAATGCTTTGCCTCTTACATTCCCTTTAAGGGACACGGCTTCGCCAGTCAGATTCGAGGTGATTTGTTTGATTTGGAGCTGCATGACAGCTCCATGCCTGCAAAGGTTGAGCAGGAGAAGCAGAGGAACCTGAAATTGCAGAACCGCTACAAGGCAAGGTAGCACAGCATCACAGGTGGTACTGGATGCCCCGGTAAAGTAGCTGTACCTGTTCTCGTGTATTCAGCCCTTGCACCAGCTTGACTTTGACGACAGCGACAGGAACGACGTCAGCAGCAACGATCATGTCCTTTGCATGCCAGGCGCTAAAGATGCTGCAGAAGCAGATTGATGACAAGCTGCAATGACGCATAGCCGCCGCTTGAGTGGCCAAAACGAAGCAGAATCACGGCAGGTGCTCAGATTGTTTACTTGAGCTTGTAGAACAGTGCAGCACAGTTCTAGTACGTTGAAATTCTGGACGTTCCATTGGCGATGAACCCGCGGCCAACGAACCAAGCATGGCAGCGTTGCAGACAGTGATCACGTTGCATAGGCCTGCGCCAACATCTAGCTGCAGCTTCAGCCCATCGATGGCATGCCAGAGCATTTCATGAGTTCAACCTGAAGATCTCAAGAGCTGGCTTTTTTCATCAGAGCCTATTTGCTGAAAGTGTAGGAGCACTTCGACATGACAGCATGTTGTCCAAGTGTCGCGAGCAAGTCATCCTCACCATTGCACGAAAGCATCAAGGAGCCATGAATGGACAAGGCCCTGATCAGATCGGAGGTGTGGCGAGCGAACAGGTTACGAAACTGCTATAGAAAATGGACATGCGAAGTGTCCACAGCGCGAAGCTGAGTAGTTAGCTGACTTTTCTGCCAGAGTGCTTGTGAGCCCTGCAGGCAATAAAGGCTTACTTGGGGGCTGAATGAATAGAAACCCCTAATCGAAAACACGTCGCCGGAAATCAGGCTTTGTATTGCAATGCCTCGTGTCTTGACAGGTACTTCTGTGCATCATCTTCATTCCATGCTGGCGGAAGCCGTGCCAGTGAAAATGCAGCAAGGCATCCGGATAGGGTCGAAAACAGGCAAACAAGTGTGATGAATCACCACCGTGTCCGGCTTCTGGGATTGGTCAAAGCATTAATGCTAGACTTCTGGTACTGCAGACGGGTTCTTTTCAGTCCGGGGCTGTTGCTGACATTTGCTAAAGCTTACGCCATGATGCCAGTATCACAGAATCTGTGCCAGGAGAGAAGCTGCCACTTGCTCGGGCTCAGGACTTCTACGTTTGCCTCTGCGTAGACTGGGTAGCGGTTGGTCTCAGTCTCAACACAATTAGAGAAGGCCAGTTTCTTAGCGGTGCCTTCCAGTTCATGATGGGAAGGCCTTGTCAATTTTTTGGCCTCTCGTTTGCAGATGTGAGAGACAGGACTGTCGACGCTGGGCGGCTGGAGTATTGGTTGGAAGTGTTGTCAGCAACCAAGAAGATTGCATCATCATCTGGAAGTCGAGGATGTGGCTTGACCCAGATACGCGAGCCAGAGACTGTGGGGGTGACTTTCTCTTGGTAGCTCTTGTGTTGTTCGCTGCCTGGTGAAGCTTGTTTCAGCTGATCAGGCTTAGCATTGGCCAAGCAAAAACGGATTCTAGAAGCATGTTCAACAAAGCTGCCGTGATGCATTGCCAAACTTGCGGTTGCCGAAGGCAGCGTCGATCAAGTTGGAGGGCCTTACTGAGGTGATCTTGCTCGTCCTGTACGAGTTGCATTTACGCTTTCCAAGGCGCTTTGCACATGTCGTGTTTCTCCTGCAGTTCTGATTCAGCTCAGTGTCCAAGAACGGCTTGTGTGTAGCCAGCTAACACGCTTACCTATGTCGACGCTGCCAGGCATGGGCTTACCAGCTGCCTATTGCCTTTGTAGTTACGGTTATGTTTGTGTGGACATTACATGGCACACCTGAAGCAGGCCATGTTTCTGCGAGCATCTTTGCAAGCGCATTTCATCTGTCAACCGGACCACAAACACACATGACCTACAGCATCTACAGTCTACAATCAAAGCTTCATCCCTCTTATTATGTTCATCGACTTTTGGCGCTGCGGCCGCCAAAGTCAGGTGACCTGGCTGCTTGATCGCTTTGTTGCTTGCTGCCACTCACTCTTCGTGCGTGTGAAGCTCGGGCTTCTACTAGGCGTGAGAACTCATGCAAGACAGACATATCGAATTCCACCGTCAGTGTCCTCTCCCCATGTTGCTGGCGGACTGATGACTCCGCCCTATGGGATTTTCTGTTTTGACACGAGCTCTTCGATTCACACCAGTTGGGCTCAGCAATGTAAGTGCTGCTCAAATGCTTTCACGGATTTGGGATTCGGAACCTCACCTCTGCTGCAAGTTGAAGAGTTTGTTCATCAAACCATTGGCCACGGTGAAAACGTATTTTGCACCACGACTTGCTCTTCCTTCAAAGTTGCAAGGTCTTTTTTGAAGACTTCTGATCATCAGCGATTCCCACATCCCAATTGAGACCAGTTCACGATGGCTTGGCTTGGATATCCCGCAGCGAAACAACACTGCTTGTGATATAGCAACGAACAGTTTAAGCCAGAATTGCCTGCTAGGACGCTAGGACTGGTGTGCTGCAACGATTTGCTAACACCAGTCTTTCTTGTAGCTATGTGATATACATTGTTCGTAGCACCTCCATCTCTGAGGCATCAGTTGTGGCCTTTGCGAGAGCATAGATGAGGAACTCAATCCTTCCAACCTCAATGTGTCGAAAGGTTTCTGAGCCGGCCGCTGATAAGGCCTCTCCAGTGCATGCCACTTGCATGAAGTCTATGGGTAAATTCATGATACAGGATACTCTGATAACGTGGCAAGCCTGGACACGAAGCGGTACGGGTCATTGACATGCTAGTGGGCTCCATGCAAAACAAGTCGTCACAGTTTTAGAACATGACTTGTCAGTGTAAGGCTCACAAGCAGCGCAGTGCGCTGAAGCCTCCTTGCAGCATTGTCGTTTGCTTTCGCTAATGATTTGAGGCATTGGAAGATTTTTTTGGCATGCGGTATTGGCTAAGCAGTAATGTGGGCACCTTGCAACACTGTTTTGGGAATTTTCGTCTCGCCAGTCCTGTCTCTTGTGGGCGGATGCTGCAGGAAAGGTCCGCGTTCCATGCCGGCCCCGGCCGTGGTAGTGAGAGACCTGCGCTCGGCAGAAGATCCGAGAAACCTGGCCAGAAATGTAGAGTCATTGGTGCGGACAATGTCTTTGCTTCCCCTTGCGTAGCGTCGTCAGCAGTTTGACTTCCGGGTTAATATGCACCAAATGCAGCTGCGAGTCTTTGCAACAAGAAGCAGCCTGCTCGTCCTCAGATGCTGACAGAAGCAGACAGCGCAGCTCATGACTGGTCCAGGCAAGGAGCGAGAATTAATCATCCGGCGACGCAGGAAGATGATGGCGCAGGCTGTCGGAGAGCATGGGTCAGCATTGTAAGAGTGCTTCTTGGCTTCTTGTCCTCGAGTGCTATCCCTGGAAAGTGCAACAATTTGTGCTTGCTTGTCGTTGATGATCGCCATCAGTAGGTCAATCTTTCGCTATTGGGGCTCGAGTCTCGACTATTGAGGCGAAGCTGAAGGTGGCTTACTTTCTTGTCGAGAACGGATTCAGGAGGACATCATATGCTTGATCTTGAAACGTGTTTCAAAAGCAGCTCTTTTGCATACATCAACTTCCAATCATTTTGCAGTACTGCCAAGACTGCGGATGGTGGAGTCATTTCCTCTCAGCACACACAGCACACGCATGAGTTGATGCATGGCTGTGTGGAGGATTGATGTGAACTGCCCTAAGCGAGTTCACCTGGGCTTTGCCGTCACATATCCTCTTCACCTTGCTGCGGAGCGCGACGACTATGACATGGCTTCTTCGTTTAAGTTATGAAAGATTCACGCCTTTGAGGCAGCTTGCGTTTGATAGTCCTTGCTGCTTCAGCTTAGCACTTCAGCCATTGGTGTTTCGGCTGCCCTGCACGGCAAGCTGACAACCAATTTGCTCTGAGTGCGCTGTCCGAGGCACTCATTCATGAAAGATATTCACAAGCTGAGGTTGTGTTGCTCCTGCACTTTGGTGCTGACCCAGACATGAAGGAGCCACGGTCAGCAAGAATCCAGCATGCTTTTTGAATTGTTTTTGTATTGTTGCAAGTTGCGCTGCCACCAACGTTTTTTGTAAAAGATCATTCTGATGTCCGGAAGTCTTGGTGCAAGCCCTGTTCAGGTTTGCTACTGCTTCTAGTGCTGTCCACTGTACAGTATGTTGGTAAGCAAAGACAGGGTGTTGTTATCGGCACAGCTGGTTTTGATGCTTCACAACTGAGCGCAGCTAAGCGGAAGGATTCTTGGGGCCGCACCGCTCATCTGTGCACACACAGTGGGCAGGCTGGGCCGTCTGCGAGTTCAAGCTAGCCGGAGCTTCTAACTTGACCTAGCCTGAGCTGATCAGCATACCCGAGCAGACTGAGTAAAAACCAGCGGCACATGACCCAACCTACACAAGCCTGGCTCGACTGCACTCTTCCCTGTGTCTAGCCAGTTTCTTCACAGGGGTAAGCTCTAGTGGCTTGTGTTCTGCGTGCATAGCACTTCTAGATTTTTCTGTAATCTTGAATGTTTTTGCGAAGGCGATTCTGATACCAGCACAATACAAGCTTGAAACAAGGTTGCTTCCGTAATCCCTAAATTTCCTAAATGACCACTGATGCGTCACCCCTGGGTAGAAGGCCATATTTGATGGCGGTAAGTGCCGGCCGCTGCCCCCCCCAAGCCATCAAGTGAGCAGCAGCATGTATTTACATAAGAAAGTAGAAGCCTAGGCGCTCTGGTATTTTTGCATCTGGGTTCAGCGTTCCTGTGGGAACTAGATTGGGGCCGTGGGTTGAACGAGATAGGCCACAGTTTGCTTTGCAATAAGAGCCCAGGACATATTCCTCTTGGCCAAAGAGATCTGGTGATTTCTCAAGGTACAATACAAGGTTTGATATCAGGCGGACAAGATGAGAGGCAGAGGATTAGAAATGCTGCATATGGCCGAGGCAATAAAAACAAAACCGACGCTCATGTGGAAACCAGTCAACCCCAGCCCTGCTGATGCTCCTGATCGAAAGACGTGTAGGACAAGATGTTGTCTTGCCACTACGGATGGTCTGTTACGGTTGGATGGTCTTAATCTCCATAGTTTAACCCCGTGCGCCAGCATCAGGGTGCTGCAAACATGTAAGTAGACTTTTCAGGACCTCACCTGCCAGGCCTTGCCAGCCCTGGGGCATTGTTCCCCACCCTTGCAGTGGGGTTGTGAGATTATAAAGTCTATGTTGTCCTCCGCCCGAAGCCTGACTGCAGTGCCCAACCGCAGAGCATCCCTGCAGTGCCCAAGCACAAAGCATCCCTGCAGTGCCCAACCACCAAGTGTCCCTGCAGTGCCCATTCGCAGAGTATCCCTGCAGCGCCCAACCACCAAGTGTCCCTGCAGTGCCCATTCGCAGAGTATCCCTACAGAGTATCCCTGCAGTGCCCAACTGCAGAGTGTCCCTGCAGTGCCCAACCGCAGAGCATCCCTGCAGTGCCCATGGCAACATATCCCTGCAGTGTCCAAACCCACAGAATTTTTGTAGTGCTCAAAGTCTCCTTGTGGTGCCCAAGACTTGCAATGTCGAACCCCACAGATGCTAACTGTTGCTGACTTCGCCAATTACAACTTCCGACTGCTATGCGAGCACCAACGGAGGGGAGGGGGGCGAGGCGGCCAAAAAAATGCACGCACACTTGCAACAGCTATCAAGGTGTCATTGTCACACCACACTTTGTAATGCTCTTGCCCCCAATGCTCCCGGAAACATTATTTTTTTAGGGCGGGGATGCTCGAAGTAAATAATTTCAGTGTCATCTTCCGGGGCCTTGCGGAAGGGCAGCCGGGATACCCCGCCAACCCCGCAGCATTGTAGGGCTGTAAATAGAGTCAAATGACCACCCGTGTCCAATCTCTCAACCCTGCCAGAATCCTTGCATAACCCCTGTATCATCCCATGAGACCTACCCAAATGTACCGGGTATAAGAGGGAGGGAGTAGGGCTTGGGAAGTGGAGTGCGAACAAAAAGCCAAGAACTGACTTCACATGAGCAGCAAATCAGCAACCGCACCGAAATTCATTGCGGCTCTTAAATCCCCTGGTCTGCCGGCATCCTGGGTGCAGAGGGAAATGTTTTTCGAATCTGCCGCAGGCAGTAAGTCGATACTTGTGCCGAAGTATGAACAAAGCGTGCCAGGAGGATTGAAAAGAAACCATAACACAAGCCATCATGGAAACCGGGACGAAATCCTGCGGGAGCACATCTTGCGAGTAGAACTCGCAGTAGATTGAAGAAGCTCATTGGAAGTCCATTCCCCAATAGAACCTTAATGGAAAGTCCTTATTCAAGCCCATCGTTGAAGACTTCCCGATAAGTCCTAGGAAAATCCAAGTATCATCTGAATGTAGTTCTTGATGCCGACGGTGATGGATTCATAGATTAGTACAGTAGGCAGCCGGACTTGAAAAACAATGTGCCATCTTCAGGGTCCCATTACAGAGATTGGCTTTTCCCGAGGCCTGAAGGTTTCATAAAGCAGCTAATAACGCCGGTCTTGGAGCCGCAAGAGGTCAGGAAAACATGTATAACTGAGACTGAACAACTGCAGCTGCTGCTGCTGATACATGAAGCAACCCGCTCAAATTGCAATCACACTGCAGCCGCAAGAGGGTTGCATCAGCCTTCCGCTTCTGAAATCATTTGACACAGAAGCCTCGTCGTGAAAGCTCAAGGCAAGCAAGGGGTAGAAGTGCAGTCTGTGAAAGTTCGCCCAGATAGTAAAGAGCATTCTCAGCAACCTCAGGTTCAGAAGGCACTGAAAAAGCTCGGGGGCGGAGTCCTGGAAACTCAAAGAATCCCGCGACCATCCAGGCCAGTAGGCGGATAGAGCCTCTGCACGCAGCCGCACACATGTGTTGTCTCCGTGATATTTCGCATTGCAAGCCGCCGCGCTCACAGCTGTGGAGGAACCCGACGCCATTGGGGCTTGAAGAATTCTTTGCAAAGCTGGAGCAAGATCCCGTCGTCCAGAGTCACTTGGCTTATGGCCGCGCAAACGTAACAAACATGTTTTTCAAGACATTTTATATCATTTCATGGCCGCACCTGATTGCCCTGCAGACAAGGCCTGAAGCAAGCACGAGACAAGCGTAGCAGCTTGTCTTTGTCAGTGCGTGGTGCATGTCGTCGAGAGCACATTGCTGGTTCGCTTTGATGGCTGCAGAGGTGTGCTGCTGTGAGTTCATGGGTGCACTTAGGACAGGAAGTGGAGCAAATCAAGGTCTGAATTCTTTGGCCTGCAACCCATATCAGGGCGATGCGGCATCATAGACGTTGAGTGCCTGTTTACGTTGACTGCACTTTGACCTGAAGGCGGTCCCCTGAAGAAATCCCATCTTATTCATTTGCACTTGTAAAGGTCTTGGATGTCATGGGATGTTCGGTGGATGCCTCTAATGCAGCAGCAACGCCACCGAGCATTGTTGCGGGTTTTGCAGCTACTTTCATGCGCTGAGGGCTTCTGCCCTGGCAGGATGGAACCTTATTCCTCATGACATCTCAACACCCCCAAATGAACTTTGAGTGCAGAGCAAGAGCTTTCGAGATTGTGCAGAGGGGTCAACCCAAGAACAAGAATGCACCCAGGGCATTTGCGCATGCGAGCTGCATCTTTGGATTCCAACATCGGCGTAGATGTGAGCCTAGTGCTGGCTATCACTCTCTTGCCGCCTCAGTGCTTTTCGGGCTTCCATGTATCACACCTTCATCTGGGAATGAGCACACCAGAGCGGATGTTGAAGTGGACGCTGAAGCAATTAAGTCGGGAGCTGGAGAGAATGAGGGTGCCTGAGATGCTCGGCAATTTCAGAGAATGGAAAACTTCAGGGCCAGCAGGTCACCGAAAGTTTGCTGAGGTGGAATAAAATGGCTCCTCTAACTCCTTGTAAATGGGGGTACGAGGTGGCAAACTGCAAGCTGAATCCATGGTATTGTCAGGCAGCCCCACTACATAATTTCAAGCGCAGATTTCGAGCAATGCTCCCACCTCACCATCAGTAAAGAATTCAAATGCATTGCCATGGAAGTGGGAATTTCCAAGCAGAAAGATGCCCAACGTGTTATACCTGCTTCCGAGGCACGTACTCGTGCTTTAGTTTGAGGAGCACTCATGCACAGACTTTTTAATTGCGCGTTCAGCTTTTTCTGGGCTCTGGACTGGCATCTACTCATTAGGTCTACATCCGGAAGTGTGAAGAATACAGCTCGAGACACACATTGTGACTAGGGTGCGGAACTTGTTGTGAAATGATGTGTGAGGTTTCCAAAATCTTTTTGACTTCAGCGTTTTGATGCGTCTGATGGCTCCAACAGCTTTACGCTTGCACTGCGCATGGCCTGGGAAAGCCTGAGCAAACCGAATTAATTGCATGCGCCCGGGCTTGGCTGAGACTTGCAGAGGAGGATCGCATGGCATATGGGAGCAGAACCTTCCAGCAAAGAACTAGCTCACATACGTTCGATGTATTTCTGCAGAGGGAGGTTCAAGGATAAGTTTTCACTGAATGAGTTTTCGTCAGTTCGCCTTGATATTCAACGTGCCAATGCCTTTGCTTGTGCGAGAATACATGGAGCTGCGCTTCTGCAGAAATGATTGGTCACATACGACATGAAGTCGGGAAGATCTGCATGCCCTCTGATCCTTCAGCTGGACACACACTGTGGCAGCTAGGAGCTTTGACCAGCCCATTCGGACCTTCCTCAGAGTCAGGCGTTTGTTCGTGCCACTCAGGAAGTAGTCTTGTTAACCCGGCAATGGGCAGTCTGAAGACGACGCAGGCCAAGGTGACCACCCATCCAGATGCATGGATGGATTCTCAAGCCTCGGTGCTGGGACAGGGGACACCGTCCCTAACCCACATGGTTCCACAGATGAGCAATGACAAAACATTGCTTCTTAAATTGCCGCCTCTCTGCGCCTGAATGCATTCTTGCATTCTTGCAGAGCAAGAGCAAGGAGGTCTGTCTGCAGTGTCCATTCTGCCATCAAACCTTGCTCGATCATGATGACGATTCTATAGTAGTCCACCAAATATTCACGTGGTATCATTAGGCTTTGAGGAGCTAGCGCTGGCTTCTCCAAGCTACGTTTCTTCCGAAGCAGGGGTGGCTGCTCCTTCGAAAGCAGACGCGAGACACTGCCCTTTGTAGGGCATCTAGGGTTGAGAGATGCTCTGTCAATATGTAGTCGGAAGGCAGTTTGCAAGGTCGCTTGCGCTTCTTAGGGTGTTGAGGACTCGCTGTTACTGTGAATTATCCGCACAGTCTGATCACCTGGTGAAAAAACCAAGTTGTTGGCCTCATGGCCGAAGAGGCGTGGTTGGGCCGGGAGTCTTTGCGGACTGCTTATCAAATTGTGAGTCTTTTGGGACTGCACATTCAATTTCCGATGCTTGTCTACATGCTTACCTTTTGAAAGGCCAAGTGTCCGATTTCGCTTATGATCTCAGTATGATCCCAAGATCTTCCGCGATGCTTTAAATTATTCACGGCCCAGCAACATGCCATGGCAAGCTCGCCCTTACACTGGTTGTCGCCGTTCGCTGGCGTTGTCCTGGGCAGCTTGCACTTAGAGAGACGCTATTTACCTCGCATTGGACTAGGATGGTCTCAGATGAATTGCCTTTCGGATCCACATGCGGTGCATCTTGAAAAGGTCCCAGGCTTTGCTTGAAACAGCAGTGGAGCACGATGCTTTGCCAGACTGGCACTGATGGTTTCATCGCATCTGACAGTAACTATGATAGTACTTGCAACAGTAGCAGCATTGATCGGTTTGAATTTTCTTGGATCTTGGATATTTTGGTGATCTTAGTGAACGGACACGGCAGAAGCTTGATGTGGCGAGGCGGCTGCCGCAGCCTGATGTGCCGACAAGCAAGCCTCCCCAAGGCAGGGCTGCTGTGACCTTGGGATAAGTTGGAAGAGTCATGGTGCTCTTTCGTTGACGTCCCGGAAATGAAGCAGTGAACTACCCAAGGCGGTGATTCGTCTATATTCATCTAGCTAGTGTTGACACGTTCGCCCGCATTTGACTTACTGTTTGCGGAGCTATCTAGCACTCGCCCACATTAGCTTCACTTCGCAAGCACAGCCGCTCACAAGTTCTGTCTTTCCTGAAGGTGCGATGTCAACAAATGTACTCCGACATTTCGCGCTCCAATGTTATGCCGTGCAAATCGCCAATCTATGGTATGCCCATGCAGTACATGAGGTTGTGCTTGGCAGAGATACACAGAGCTTAGAGCTGTGCGGAGAGGCGCCGATTTCTTGGAGCAGCTGCAGAAAGCAAAGGACGTTTGTTCGATGCCATGTCCATGCGGTGTGCCGTGTTCTGCCACCACGGATTTGCCTATCATGCGCCAGGAAGAGGTCGGAACAGACTTCAATTTGCTTGATGTCAAGACAGAGCCCTCTGCCGGCATTTGCCAGCGCTGATCACATTGAGCCTACATACGGCAGTGCAAGTTCAGCTCCTGACTTTCTTGTTTACCTCTCTTTCTGAGGTTTCAGAAGCGATATTCCAACAAGGCGGCGGGCTGTCTCGGTTCATGATGGACTCATCGCCAGCAGCGAGTTTACAATTTCTCCTTTAGTGTAGTAAGCGCAAGCTCAGAGCCGCTGCCAGCAGGCCCGGCCACTACTTTGCTCTGCGTGCAAGATCGTAGCCAGTGCCTCAACCATGAGCGCTATCCGTTTCTTCTGTTCCTGCTGCATAACAAGCACCTTGTGGCCTTGAGGCCGAGCGTGTTGGCTTTGAGCTAGGCGCCGTTTGCTATTGCTGCAGACGGTGACGGTGCTTGCTGAGGGTATTCTCTCATGCCATTGTCCCATTCAGGTTGTCATTGTTACCTCAAGGGTGCGAGGAGGGGGAGCTATTTGCTAGACCATTCTATAGCTCCCTTGACAACTTCAAACACAACGTAGACAGGTAAAAGGTAGTTGCTGTCTTGATAGCATGTTGGCCAGATTTGCATCTCCAACTATTGATGTCAATTTTCTTGCACGCGGGGCTTCTCACAAGCGCAACGTCGACTAAGAGGGGCTTCAGCCCTCAGATGGGTAAGAAATGCCCTGCCTAGCAGATGCACGCAACGCGACTGAGCAGCCGGACCCTTCTGCGATGCTCAACGCCACGAAGGAGGCATGCCAGGGATGAGGCAGATTCGTTTCAGCTACCGGTTTGTTTTGTCGTGCAGCCAAGCCGGTGTGGGATTGTGCTACAGCAGATGACACAGCTCCTCGAATGCTTTGCTGTCAAGGCAGTGCTTGCAGCCTGCCAAGCCCTTCCGTCGCCATTGGCTGTAGTGCAAGGCCAGTGCTACTGTGTGGGCGGCTCTGGTGATATTTGGCTTCCTGCTTGGGTGTTGAGGCGGTGACAATGCTGATGTGACGTCAAATTGAGGTACTGTCCATGTTAGCCTGATTAAAGGACCATTGGCGGACATAGAGGTCCCTCTTGTAGTTTACTGTAGGCCCGAATGTAGTTCCTAACAAGGAACCCATGTTCGTTAAACTATGTTGTAAATATTGACTGTAGCTCAAATGTTGAAGCGCAGCGGCCCCGGAATAGTAGTTGTTAGAGTCCCGCCACTGTTTGGATTGCAGACTGAAGCTGCCATCATTGAACCATGGTGTTGCTGTGGAACAAAGTCCCCCGTCCCTGGGTAGGCGAGGGCACAGCCAGCTTCGAGGTGGCCTCATCTGTCCGAAGCAGGTAGTTTTCGTTGGAGAGTCTGGCTGAAAAATCACCAGTAGTAGCTTGGCAAGAGGGCTTCAGCAGTGCAAGCTGATCTGCCTTTGGCCTTCCAAACTGCCGGAATGCTTTAAAATGCTAGTACTTTGCCGTGCAATCTGAAGCCGGCAGACCTCCCAAACGCAAGGAAACGCTTATGACCATGGCATCATGTCTCGTGTCTTGGGAAACGGACAGGGTTAGCAGCCATCATACCCACGGCAGGGCCTGAGACCAAAGCAGGCAAACCTGTCAGGAAGTCCACGCCAGCGATCACCAGCACCTGACGGGAATTGAGCTGAGGAGGCAGATGACATTCGTTGGAATCAGCGTGGATCGTTTTGCATCCCGGATTTACATTATACATGGCAGTCCATGTAAAAGGCTCCTGTGGCTAGAGGCAGCACGACTCGTGGAAAAGATGTTCGATGGCAATCCCGCGCATGTAACTGCTCCTCAGCTTGGCAGGGCCGAGGTTGCCCAACGCAGCGTGGACCGGTTGCTTGCTGCTCAGACTTGCAGGTTGATCAGTGGTCCTGACTTAAATAAAAGAATGAAGACATCAGTGGGTCAATGTGTTGTTGGATATCCACAATTCTAGACTGTAATGTGTGTTTTGATTATCAGCGGTACATGCCGCAGTTACGATAACTGCGACATAACAGGAGAGTAATGCAGTTGGGTCGCTTGCTCTTGTTGAATCCAGAGTCGGCAGTCTGCCGTCAAGACTGCTGTGTGCAAAGCCTTCAAACATTCGCGCATGCAGAGCACCCACTCTCTCAATTTGTTCGGCAACCAAGCCTCAACTGTACTGGGGCTTGAAGGACATGAAAGTGACAGTGGCATGTTTTTTTTTTCCCAGATGGCTACGCCTGTCAAAAGCCAAGGTGCAGGGTTCTTCTGGCTGACGCGTCCCTCGGCTTTGTGGTTGCACAGATAAGAGACAGCCTCGCTATGGACTCTGGCATTTCAACCTTCACTCGTTGCTGGTAGAGTTGATACTGTACTGCTGGCAACTGCCGCTGCTACTCCTACTCCTGCTCCTACATCCCTTCCCCTACCTACTTCTACCACTACTACTGCGACGATGACTGACAGCCACCGCCACCGCCACCGCCACCGCCGCCGCCGCCGCCGCCACCACCACCACCACCACCACCAACAACAACAACAACAACAACACCAACACCAACACCAACACCAACACCAACACCAACACCAACACCAACACCAACACCAACACCACCACCACCACCACCACCACCACCACCACCAACAACAACAACAACAACACCAACAGCAACAGCAA